GTGGGTGTGGGTGTGGGTGTGGGTGTGGGTGTGTAGATGTGGTTGTGGGTCTGGTGATTCTTCGAGTATACACCGACACCCACGCCCACACCCACACCCACACCCACACCCACACCCACACCCACACCCACACCCACACACCCACACCCACACCCACACCCACACCCTATTGTTTTTCTTGATTTGTTGTTGTGTCCATTGAGTCAACTGATTTGGCTATGTGTATAATTATATGTTGTAATTGCTTTTTGATTAGCTTGCAGCAATAAAAATAATACCTTATAAGATATAAAAAAAAACTCTACGCTGTACGTATGAAAGCGAGAAACAGAGAGAAGAAAAAAATACAAATCATAATATATTATTATTTTTGGTGATTTTACAAAGTCTTCATTAAGGATCTGTTATTTAGTATGTTATATAAACATTCACATATGGTGCTTCGAGAGATATATAAAATTTGCTATGTATCACATAATCCAATTAAAAGTAATTTTGTGTATTTTTCAAGAACTTGTTTTATGTTTTACTATTTTCTCATATTTCCAAAAAATTAATTTGTTAAGACATTTGTAGTGTTCGACAAATTATTACTTCGAAATAGATTTTTGTATTAATTCATGGTTTTTTTTTATATTGGTCTACTAATTCTCGAGCTTAAACAATAAATCACTAAAAGTTGAAAGTAGTAATAATAAAGAAAAAGGTCGTCAAGACATTTTATTATAGCTAAATAAGAATATTGTGGATGTAGATTTCAAATTTGAATTCAACTAGTGAAACCATCTATAGTTTAATCGAAACGAGGAATGTTATTATTTGAGAAGAAACGCTGAAAAAAAAACTCAGAATAAAAGAATATGAATAAGATTGACTGAAATTTTTACTCAAGAGTATTGTTGCAACACCTTCATAAAAAACACTAGTAATCGATACGTGTCTTTTTTAATATTGAATTTTATAGTAAATGAAGCAGATAATTAACGAAGAAAAGATGTATTTTATTTGGTATATTCAAAAGTGCTCAAATTTTATTAATTGATCTTCAATCGTAATTTCATTCTTTTTTCAGTGAATATATCTTTGAACTATGATAATGATATGTCCCATATTTGGGTGTGGGTGAAGAGATGATCAACATTCATACCTCAAACCCATAACCATACACCCACATCCACACCCACACCCGCACCCACACCCTATATGTGGAATATAAAAAAACAATTCAATCGTATTGTTTGATGTTATGTGAAACATTTGATCATCTAAATTTATGTAGACGTTTATATGATGATTTTACTCAACGGTATTATGAATCTATATATTTCCAATGCATAAACATGAGATGTTGATCGAACTATAACAATTGCTGAGGGTTATTTTCTACGTTGGAAACATTCAATAATGGTAAAGCATTTAAAGATTTCTGATACATTTCAAAACTTTTCTTTTATCACCGTCCTTTATATTGTACATTTTTTCTTTTAATTTAACTTCTTGTTTACTATATTTTATTTCTATTTTTATTGTAAAAAATGCTATAAACAGCCCTGATGAATGTTTTTATTTTAATAAATAATACGAAAGGCATCGACAAATTTTGTTTTGACGATGACTCGTGATTAATCGCCGATTTTTTTTGTTACAACTGTTCTGCGGATATTTTTAGTATAAGCTTCTGACATCATATTCGAGTTCAGAAACATCAGCTTGCTATTCTATTAGGTTTTCATCGGATCGTTGTAGTCTGTCAACCTCAGCCAATCTTTTCACGTCGACCAGTGAAAAAAAAGAAACAAATCTAAGTAAGAAATCTTCTCTCAAAAACTCTAAAAAAATCTGTCAAAAATCGGCGATTGATCGCGATTTATCGGATGGTAATCGTTTTGATTAACTGCCGATTTTTCAACGATTTTCATGACATGGATGCTCACTTCCAGAGACCAATCTCATCGTCATTCGAACTCGTTCAAAAATTGAAAGTCGATGAAAGTAATATATTTATCACCTTTGAACTAGTATCACTTTATTATATTTTAGGAAAACACTAGTGATAGGCGACTGAAGCATAGATCTTAGTGTCTAAGCTTGGCATCCATAAAAACGACGAATTTCAGTAATATCTGTCGAACTAAGTTTGTCGCGCTTGCCAATGGAGGCATTACTTTGTTTTGGAACTATTGCCGGTTGACCATTTTTGCTGAAATAAGTTGCACCATAGGGTGCGGGTGTGGGTGTGGGTAAAGGGAAGATTATCGTCCACATCCACATCCACCCAAATTCCATCTTCTACGAGCAACTCGAGTTGTGCGAACAAGAATTTCAGTATTTTTTTGACAGTAAATTTCTTCACATGGATAAGTTTCTCTACTATCAACTTGACATGTTCCATTTGAATGCCAATAATTTTCATCTATAGAAGAATCATTTGAATGAATCATTTCATATTTAAATTCAAGATAATTTTTTATATCAAATGAACTTATATTACTCCAATGCAATTATTTTTATATAACTTATGTCAGTCTGATATCTACTTTGTTCTTTTTCTTTTTTTTCCACATATTTAAGCAGAATGACGAAATAGCAATAATATATCCATCAAATATGAACGTGTACTGAAAAATATTTTTTCAAAATCGAATAAATCAATTTGAAATGAAAATTCTACTTGATCATTTTCATAGAAGCATTTTCTTTTGTTTTCAATTTAATATGTATATTAAATGGAAAACCATTAAAATGTAAATAGAAGCTCTAATATCAACTTTCAAATTTTAAAATTTTAGCCGCGACATAAAAAGAAATGCTAGATTTTTGATAATTTGGAACACTCAGAGTCAGTTTTCATGCATCTTCTTGTCCATTAGCAGTTTCTTGTTAGAATGTTTCCTAGTCGAATTTATTCTCTCCTGCGCATGAGTTTTTTTTGAACTTCTTGAGCAAAAAAAATGATGTGATATAGATGCATCTTGAGGTATGCGCCTGTCGAATACATGAAGAAAAAAGTTCACGTTCGACTTTCTTCTACCAGTTTTTCTCTTTTCCATGTGAAAAATTCTCGAAACTAAGAAAATTTTTGAAAACATCATGAAAAAAGTTCGGCCATCGCTGATCAACACATCGACTTACACCTTTATGCAGAATATACTGGATAGTTCGACTCACTCGGGCATTTAATCTAGATACAAAATATCTTTTTCGTTTATTTATATGTGATGACTAAAACAACTTGCACATTCTTCAAGCAATTGTAGCTATAGAATTCATCAAGATCTACATGAATTGAAGTGCCCTTTCAATAAAATTTTGTTTCGATTAATTCACAATGAAAAGAAAGAAATTTATTGAATAATAATTGAATAAACTTCTGGTACAACACTATCAAAGCCTCCACCATTAAAAACTGGGATAAGATTTGTGTATGATCCATCTTTTACACGAGTTATTTTTAAAATTTGTCGCTCTTGAAAATTTTCAATGTTAAAAGAAAGTTGTTTTGGTGTCCATGTAAAACAATCAATACATCCCCTTGGTTTCCATTGAATAATAACAGTATCATTTCCATTTATTCGATGTGGTGGAGTTGAAAGCCATATTTCAACTTCTACACTTTCATTTAAATCTATTTTTGGTGTTTGTGGATAATGCAAAAGTCCAAGCATAGTATCTTGGCATATGAATGACCAATTCTTTGGAATTGAATTGAAGTATTTTTCATCTGGTTTTCCCATGGATATTATCGTATAAGGCATTATTGCTCGGACAATATTCCATCCTTGACGAATAACTCTAGTTAATCGAAGAGGAATTTGTGTATTTTTTTTAAAATAAATTTCTTCACATGGATAAGTTTGTCCAGTCTGAACTCTGCATGTTACATCTGCATACCAATAATCCTCATCTGGAGAAGAATCATTTGAATGTATCATTTTATAAGTAAATTTCATATAATTTTTTATTTCAAATGAAGTACCATTAACCCAATCCTCAGGAAATGAATTATATAGATTTCCACCATACTTCCAATATGTTCCATACGCACACCAATTCGTTGGATGATCTACTAATAATTGAACATAATATTTTGATTGGGGAGAATCAGGAATTGTATCTGGAAAATGTTTCATCACAAAAGCTGTTTCTCGTCCTGTAGAAATGTATGCTCGTTGATTTATTTCATCAATTGCAATTATTGTTTTACCGCCATCAGGGGAAAAAACAATTTGAGGTGGAAAATACGGCTGACTACTACACTCACCAGAATAATAATATAGAATGAACGATATTAAATACAAATATATTTTCATCATTTCAAATTTCTAAAATAATTTACTGAAAATTTTTCAGTATGTATATATATGTTTTTTTTTCTTTTGATATACTGTAAGTAAATCATCATGAAATGATGAGTTGACAAAACTTACAGCAGCATTGTAATATATTTTTATCCTTATATTTGCCTTAAGTTTGGTTTTTTATTTTATAGATAAATATTCCACCTGTGTCAACCTTATCAGATCCTTGTATCATTTTTCTTTTGTGGAATGAAACAATATCTTTTCTTTTTCTTTTGAAATAGTCGAGCAAAATAACGATGTTACAATGAAAGTATCGTCATTCAATCAAGAAAGTGTACTGAAGATATTGTTAAAAAATCCATTAAACGACGTTGATATGAAAATTCAGTTTTTTGCTTTTCTGAAGGATTTCACAAGAGATTGTTACCCGTTGAATAGAGTTTGAATTCCACGTCAACTGAGTTCCATTTCGACACAAAAATGACTAGAATATCCTACCCTAGAAGTACTTATAGTTATTATTGATCTGCTCATTCTAACTGAGGTATCATACTGCAAAGATGCGAAAATGATGTCTTATTTTTCTACAATTAAATAATTTTTAAGATAAGAACTCTATTTCGATTATTTCATAAATATCCAAGATAAATAGAAAGATATTTATTGAATAAAAATTGGATAAATATATCATCTCGAACATCCACTCCCATCCTCATTTCCTCATCGTCACATCCACACTTGTCAGCGAAAAAATGAAAATCAATGACAAAAATGATCATTTCTATAAGAATCATGCTGTAGAAAAACTGAATGATTTTAATAGAAATAGGAAACATGTTGCTCTTTGTTGTCTCCATGCCTTGCGCTTTCTATGATGTGATTTCATCGTATATAAATATGGTGCTTCGATATATAGGTTTGTCCAAACGACATACGAACAGAAAGGAAAGATAAAAATTTTTGTTTCGCAAGACTATCTACTCTAAAATATTTTTCTCAAACGATCAAAAAGTCGATCATTGCAATCATTTATTGTCTTTTCATGAGAGAAAGGAAGTCAATGTGAAAATTGTTGATATCCATAGGAATAATGAACAAAAACCAATAGAGCAATGTCGACGGTTGCTAAAAAAGATACTCTTTGGCGACAATGTAACAGATGAATTTTGATTGCTGCTTATTATTAGCAAAAATTATTCTAGAATCATTACGCTTTTTTTCGCTCTCGGAATCATTTATCAGCTGACACTCAATGTATATTTGTTCTTCCAGAGCATTCTTCTTCTTGTAGGGTGGGGTGTGGGTGTGGGTGTGGGTGTGGGTGTGGGTGGGTGTGGGGTGTGGGTGTGGGTGTGGGTGTGTGGGTGTGGGTGTGGGTGTGGGTGTGGGTGTGGGTGTGGGTGTGAGATGTGACTTAAAAGAAAACAACACCCATATCCACACACCCACCCACACCCTGACTTCGATGTTCTACTTGATGTAAGTATGCTCAGTGAGTCGAATTTTAAATTAAATAACGATTGAAAAATGATTGCATGAAAAATTGATGAAAATGAACTAGAATCTGCATAAAAAAACATGTAGTCGTGCTCTTTGCTCAAAAAAGTTAATTGAGCCGCTGGTGTTTTTTCTCAGATGTTTTTATGCCAGAAGATGCAGTTTTCACGGGCTTTCTCCTGGTGTCATAAAATTTATGGTACCCCTCCAATTTTGAATCACATGGGTCGAAATACTTTCAAAAAGTGTAAAAAAATGCTTCGTTTTTCAGTAAAAAAAACATTGTTGGCTCTTTTTTCTCCATATAATGGTGTTGGTGGAGAGTCGCGAAATACATGGCCTAACAGAAGAAGACATGCTCTTTCTTTTAGCTAAAGTCATGACTATATTAATGGTCGAAATAATGGGATTATTTTATGCCATATTAAAAAGTACAAAAAAATGACAATTTTTCTTCTATTTTATAAGGCCTATTATCAGAGTATAGCTCGTAATTCACTAATGGATTATCAGATCAATCTAATATTTTGGATTTAGTAATATCGTTTTAAGACCTTTGTTTTAAAAGAATAAAATCGGAAAAAAATTTTTTGGCTCCAGCCAAGTTACCCGGTATTCTGGCGGACCCTCTCTTAAATAATTAATTAAATATAAAGAACTAGACGAAGTGAAAATTGGTTTCAAATGTCTTGTCAGGATCCAATAAATGCATGAATTTTTCCGCATTGCCTTGAATGATTCCACTGTATTTCTTCTTATTTTCGGGATTGTTAATAAGATAGGAACAACTGTCTACAGTAGTCAATAAACTCAATAACCACATCAATCGAGGTGTGAAATGTTGCATGATCTCGGCTTCCGTTAGGGGAGCTGCAGGAGGAAAAATTTGAATGAATGTAACCGATTGATGGAGCAACACAAGTTTGATGATATCACTAACCATTGTGCTCGTGCCGAATATGTCATCTAGTCCACTGAGAATATCACTCAGAATACTGTTGTCGTGCTTCAGAGCATACATACTCCTATTGTAGAGACTGTTTGTGTTAGTACAACAAGTGTCTGCGACAACAGCTGAATTAACCAATTTACACCAATTTTCAATGTTTGTCTCCATTTCAGCATCCGTGAAGACCTGTTTGGCTAACACTTTCATTGCAATTGCAGCCGATTTAAACGGATGAATAGGGTCGCGTTGGATCTCGTGCCTCGAGTCCAATTCTATAATCTTCCCTAGGTCATGTAGTAAGAGAGCCCAATTAAGAATGTTTTTATCAGAGAAGCTCAAACCACTGAATCTGTCATTATTCTTACTGCAGTCACCGATGACTGTATGAACACAAATAAAGCATTTGAGAGTATGTAAATGAATATAACCATCGAAATAGCTGCTCATCTTACTGTATTCAGGTATACGACTGATGATCAAAGGCTCCACGTGTTCAGTGTACTTTCTTATAATGACATCCAATTCTTGATTGTTGATGCTGAGCAGTTCACTTTCACTTAACTTGCTGAAGTAATTCGCTGCATGATTGACAGAATCTAGTAGCAGTCCAAAGGTTGAACGGAAATTTAGATTCAAAAGTTGAATAACAGATTTGTAAGTGAGTGTTACGTCAGGCGCTTCTCGAGCCTTTGTCGAAGATATGTTTACCAGAGTATCTCGTTGTTCCATCAGATCAACATAGATCACTTGAGGATTGTGTTTGATGGTACGATGAATGTTCGATTCATCTTCTCCTTGACGATAAACAACAGCAAGACCCAGATTGTGTTCCTCTGTAAGACGAGATATGCTTCCATGATGAGCAACATTGAAATGATCCAGACCACAGACATATATGACACGAATGGGATGATGGAGTTCGAGTCCAGTTGACTCATGATTGAGAAAGGCAGCAAGGCACTTGCAGACTTGAGGGGCCCAAACGGAGGTGGAATATTCACTTTCACCCCTTGATATACCCATCCATTCTCTTGTTCCTTCTTCTTCGATGGCTGCTTCACAGAGACGACATCGAAATTCAGAATCATAGTGAATACTCTTGAGTCTGTTCATTTTTTGACCAAGATAATCATCACTAGAGAGGAGAAAAAGAGATTATCAGAGTGGATGATGTGAATGATACATACTGTGAAGGAGATAAATAAGCAGCAAGTACATGATAGCCAAGTTCTCGTTCAACATGGTCTCGCACGAGTTTCAGATTACCCAAATGCGCTCGATGAACTGGATTGAGTGAACCTATTGTTATGAGGACACAACTGAACGGAGAAGGGGGTTCTGTCATCAGGTGGTAGGAAGAAGAACTCACTTGGTATTACTCTTGATAGTGCCTTGAATGTTTTTACGAATCAAATCGATGTTGATGTTCTTCACTGTGTGCATCTCTGATGGAAGAGGAGAAAGTGGAATGTTTTGTTTCACTTTTGTTGTCTCGCTACCCTACACAGCCACGAGTCACTGATAAGAAAATGGAGGTTACTCTTTCTTCTCCTCCAACCAACACATGAAAACGTTATCTTATAATAATAATAAAAAACCTACTTTGAGATGCTCGCTTGTGTCAATCATGAATATGAGGTATTAAAATCTATTTTCTAAGCAGATGGATAGAAAAAAGAGAAGGCCGATCAGTCTTGTTCGGATATATAAAAAAATAAGACTATTGTTTCTTTCTCTTCTCGCTCTTCTAACTGATGATGTTGTGAACCAGGGACTCATCAGCCACATTGGAAGATGTCTCCTGTACAACATATGAGACCTCGATTCTAGTAAGATTCTTCTTCTTTTCTAGTAGTTAAGAGACACTCCGTCAGAAAATCGAATATAGGTGGGAAATGGCGAAAAATAGATTTCGCCAAAAGTAAGGTATGTAAAAAAAGTTCGCCAACATTTTGTAATCGATATATCTGTGCAACCACTAAAGCGATTCCAAAAAGCAAATAGTCATTTTAAAGAGCATTTGAAACTGTACTTATGGTGTAAAAATGAAGGTGATAGCTCAAGAAATGCGAAAGATATGTATGTGAGAAAATTATGCACTTTTTTTCAGGAAATTTTTTTACACTTCTTGCAAAAATGTTTGCACTACAGGTTTAGTTAGTTTTATATCATATATAATTCATTTGAGAGAATCAAAAGTACCCTACTGGAATCAGCGTTTCACGCTCTTTCCAAATATATGCTTAGATTTTTTCTCTGACTTATGGTTAGGGTTATTAACAACACATCCTTGAAGGAACCAATAGCGATATTTGTACAAAAATGTTCTGTTCACAGATCTTACAGGGAAGGAAATAATATCTTTTCGGATCATATTTCAATATATATTCATTGAATTTTATACCAAATGAAAGCCCGTCAAAAACTGTGTTTAGGAGTATAACTGGTCATTCATAAGATGATGACTGAACTATAGAAATACGGAAAGTTTTAAGTTGCAGTCGTATAATTGGGCTTGTCACCCATGGTAAACCAAAAAAAATAAAAGTTCTCGGAAAATGTTTTTGTTCCGTGAATTTTGTAGAGCTTTGTTTGCTGATCATTTTGCTAAAAAAAATTTACAAATTTCATCGAAAAATAACGATGCTAGAGTCAAAATACTGAAAATTTCATATGATGCGTTTTATAAGTTTCCAGGAAACTCATCTATTTCTCGGACACTGATTAATTTCCGGAAACTGAATTCAATTTCCGGAAACTGAATTCAGTTTCCGGAACACACATACAGTTACCTTTCAAGATATCTATGGCCATAATGGACATAATGGCCATAATGGACATAATGGACATAATGGCCATAATGGACATAATGGACATAATGGACATAATGGGCTATATGATGTCTTCTATGAATTTCCTCGTAAACTCAATTAAGCCCTAGTATAAGAGATATTGAAGCAGAATGGTGGGTTGACCATTAATCTATGATCTATCACCAGGGAACGCACACGAAGCACTATTAGCTAGTAGGCTTTTTCTTATAGAAGATGTAAAAGATATATATCTCTACTCACTTTATCTCGAAAAAAACTAGAATCAGTCCTCAGATATAAATATGTCTTAATAAATTGACAGCGGTCACGCTACGACAAGGCACGCATTACACATATATGTAAAACTGGAAACTTGAATTCTATTGAGTTTTCAAGTTTCAAGTTCCTAGGAGTTCCGATAGGAACGGCTCGCCCACAAACTCACGTACACATTATCGCATCTAGTGTGGGTACCGCGACAGAATTGGCTACACTAGGACCGCATCACATCGCAGCTACTCTGAGTGCTGCAAAAAGGAGTGGCCACGAATGGACTAGGCACACTACGACACACGTCACATCGCACCTGCTGTGGGTGCTACGAAAGGACTGGTCAGGAATGGACTGACCACACTACGACACACATCACATCGCACCTGCTGTGGGTGCCGCGAAAGGACTGGTCTGGAATGGACTGACCACAGTACGACACACATCACATCGCACCTGCTGTGGGTGCCGCGAAAGGACTGGCCACGAATGGACTGACCACACTACGACACACATCACATCGCACCTACTGTGGGTGCCGCCGAAGGACTGGCCACGAATGGACTGACCACAGTACGACACACATCACATCGCACCTGCTGTGGGTGCCGCGAAAGGACTGGCCACGAATGGAGTGTCCACTGTACGATACACATTACATGGCACCTGTTGTGGGTGCCGCGAAAAAACTGGCTACGAATGGACTGACCACACTACGACACACATCACATCGCACTTGCTGTGGGTGCTACGAAAGGACTGGTCAGGAATGGACTGACCACACTACGACACACATCACATCGCACCTGCTGTGGGTGCCGCGAAAGGACTGGTCAGGAATGGACTGACCACACTACGACACACATCACATCGCACCTACTGTGGGTGCCACGAAAGGACTGGTCACGAATGGACTGACCACAGTACGACACACATCACATCGCACCTGTTGTGGGTGCCGCGAAAGGACTGGCCACGAATGGACTGACCACACTACGACACACATCACATCGCACCTACTGTGGGTGCTGCGAAAGGACTGGTCAGGAATGGACTGACCACACTACGATACACATCACATCGCACCTGCTGTGGGTGCCACGAAAGGGCTGGTCAGGAATGGACTGACCACAGTACGACACACATCACATCGCACCTGCTGTGGGTGCCGCGAAAGGACTGGCCACGAATGGACTGACCACA